TATCACGACTTATGCAGAACTTTGGCGAGCTTGCTTCATATGTCGAATTGTTACCTAAGTCTTTTATGAAAGCAACAGCTTGAGTTTAAGAAAAGGAGTCTATTTTTTAACAACTTAATGGAAAATTCAATGTAGTCCGCGATTTAACCAGCTACTCAATATCCTTCTTTTTCTTCTAACACCTAACGTATCTAATCCACATGTGTTCAAATCTTGCCTAGGGGTTTTCAGCTTACTGATTACAGTTGATGAATTATTGTATAACAATGTATCATATTTGAATGATCAAATTGACATGAAAGAGCAAATAAATACCAAACCCAAACCGAAATATCTTTTTTTCAGATGCTACCTAATTAGTAGTTAGTATTCTTATTCCCTTCCTTTTTTTCCACTAAATTTTGAAGAAATATGGATCTTTGAAACATCGATTGTGCATCTGATATTGCCGGAGAAATTGGCGCAATCGTGCAAATCAAATATCTTTGAAAATATCAGAAGAGCTAATTGAAGACGTGGCCAGCAGTAGCAATTGTAGATCAAGAAAGAAGCTGTAAATTTTTCCGGAATGCTTGTCCACACTCACGCAGGAAATCTTGAAATTGTCTGAACAGTCTTTCACCTTCCCTCTGCTTTCAGAAGCAGCCAGAAATAGGCACAAATGCTTATTCCCATTGCAAACATCTTTTCTCTTTTTCTTCACAACCTCTTTTCACTTTTTTTACTCCCAGAAAACTTAGTCTTCGTCTCTTCTTCTATCGTTCCCCTCAATGTTTTATGAACCTTAGGGTTACTTTGTTCTAGCACTAACTACACCAAAGTGACAATAGCACTGTATTTTTCGTCAATTGAAAAGTTGTTTGATTAAGATCCTTTGGTGAGTTTAGCATAAATATTTGACTGATGTAAGGATATCAGTCGACCCATTTTCAGCAGCATTATCGATTCTTTTTTCATGTGTTTTGACTGTAAACTTGGAAAATCCGGCATGAACTAATGAAGCGGCTTACTTTGTTTTGACTCAGCTGACAAATAAGTGGATAAGAGTTTCGTCTGTTCCTATAGCATCATCTCAAATACCAGTAAAAATAGTTATGTCAAAGCAGAGGTGCGACCAACTCAAAGAAGACATTGCTTGATAAAGATAACGAAGTATTAACACGAATGTAATTAGATGACGTCATTGCTGCCATCAAACATCGCACTTTGTCAAATTTTTAAGCTCTCAGCTTAGCCGCTTCAGTATTAAAATACAGCGATTGTAAATATTGTCCTACACTGTAACCAGACGTTCTGTTTAAGCGTTTTCCAAACCACTTTCGGAGCCTTGGAAAAGTGTTTTTTTAAGCTTGTACCAACTACTACTATGATTGCGAGAAAGCTATGCATCCAGGGAATCACTTCGGACCAAACACTAAATTATGGCTTCATCCTTTGTTAGCGAAACAGTAAGAGTGATGTATGTTCTGCGCAGCTGAAAAAGACAATCGTTTCGACATGGACAATGCAGCCAAAGTCCTCTAAAGGTGACCAGGTGACTATTGCCGGGAAATTCTAAAGTGCGGTTCATAATTATTCGAACACCCAAAATTTTGTAAGTTTTTGGACTTTTTGGGAGAAACTCGAAAAGCCGTTGGTACCACGCGATAGAACACAGCCGAAAACGGTATATGATCCATAAGAATGGAAATCGATGTCGACTGTAAGAGCGTTTGAGCGCCTAGTGCGGATTTTTAGCGGTTCATAATTATACGAACACCTCAAACAAAGGTTCATTTTTTATTCAAGATTGCAGTCATTTGAGTCCAAATTTTCTGTAAAGCTACAGTAACAAAGTCTGACGTGTCCGCTGCACACTGAACCCAGTGCAGCTCAAAAAGAGAACCGTTACTTTTTTCAGAAGGCTCTAAATGCTTCTGGAGTGATTGCGCTCCAAAAACATCCGTTCTTCTGCGGTTTACGCGCTCTAATTAGCTTCTACCAAAGCTATGAGATAAAATAAGCTCTTTTGATGGGTATCTTGTTTGACGCTTAGAAAATCTTTGCGTTTTCGTGCCGTTTTTCAACCAAGTTCCAACCTTACCACAGAGTTAACACGATTTCGAGCCTCAAAACTCAGCTTCTCTCTCGCGCAAACATTTGATATAAAGCGGCTGCATTGTTTACATTATGATGTTTCTGTGCCAAGGTTTTTGGGTTTTTTGTGGAACTGATCTTGAGGCTGTGGAGCTACAAACCAAATAAAGGTGTGATTGCAATAAAAAAGCAGTGTTTTTGAATGACGTCTGCGTGGCCAAAACAAACGCTCAACGCTGCTGATTTTTTCTAGCCAAATATACAGTCTTGTGAACTTCTACATACTATATGCTTACTTCATTGTACGGCTTCAGAAGCTGAGTTTTGAGGTTCGAAACCGTGCTAACTCCTGGTAAGGTTGGAACTTGAAAAACGGCACGAAAACGCAAAGATTTTCTGAGCGTCAGACAAAATACCCACCGAAAGAGCTTATTTTATCTCATAGCTTTGGTAGATGCTAATTAGAGCGCGTAAACCGCAGAAGAACGGATGTTTTTGGAGCGCAATCACTCCAGAAGCATTTAGAGCCTTCTGAAAAAAGTAACGGTCCTCTTTTTGAATTGCACTGGGTTCAGTGTGTAGCGGACACGTCAGACTTTGTTACTGTAGCTTCACAAAAAATTTGGAATTAAATGACTGCAATCTTGAATAAAAAATGGACCTTTGTTTGAGGTGTTCGTATAATTATGAACCGCTTAAAATTCGCACTAGGCGCAAAAACACTCCCGAAATTGACATCCATTTCCATTCTTATGGATCATTCACCGTACTCGGGTGTGCTCTTTCGCGTGGTACCAACGGCTTTTTGAGTTTCTGTCAAAAAGTCCAGAAATTTCTAAAATTTGGGGTGTTCGTATAATTATGAACCGCACTTTATCACCGTCTTTTAGCAAGCCTTTTTGTATGTACTTATCATCTAAGTGCGCCATATCTTCCTTCAGTGCTAAATTTTTTTATATTAAAATAGCAATTTAACTAATCCCATTAATGTTGTGATCTTCAGGATTTACGATAAGGAGACCACAGCTGCAAACTCTGCATGACTTTACGATATGGATCGTATGTGCTTCAATATCATCTTTAGGTACCTTATTCTGACTAAAGGCAGCAGAGCCAAAAGCACACTCTTAGAGCAATTAGTTGCATGAATAAAGATGTCCTATGTTTTGGTTCTTTTTTTAAAACAACAAACTCACAAGCAGAGCTCATTTGCATATTTGAGGTATTCTATAGTGTTTGCAGACTTCATTATGCTATAAAACAAAATTAAACTTTTCAAAGTGTATGCTGAATTTTGTTGTATTTCGACAGCTCAACTTGCCAGATTGTAAGATGCACAATGTTTTCATGAAAATTTTCTCGAAAATTTCAGGTACTAACACTTTTAGTCAACTTCTTATCTCAAAATTACAAGTTAATTGAGGGTTCCATCATCTGTGCTGGGTAATCACCGGAGTATGTAAACCCGTTATAATTAGCTTTTAACCTCAAAATTTGAAAAATATCGGCGTTTTACATCCTGCTCCACCAGTCCTTGTGCAATCTTGGGCGTGTTCGAGTACTGTAGCAGTGCGCCTCTGATTGGTCAGATCCATGGATACAAAGAGGGGAGGATCAGCCGATCCTAAAAGGTCCGCCCCAAAGATCCTCCCTAGCAACGATTCATATATAAGACCTACGAGGAGGTGGAGTCTTTATCCAAACAACGCTCTCGAAGCTAGCTGGCTTGGGCCACTACCAGTAACTCAAGCTAGATAGCCACTGTTGTCTTCTTCTTGAACCATTTAAAAGTTTTCTCAAACACTCCCAACGAAAAATGATTTTTTACTACAACCAGAGTAACTCTTTAAAAATAGTGTGTATTCTAAAATATCTAATTTCTGAGCACTTTAGTGAAACTCATCGTGCTTCCAAAAATGTCGAAGAACACTGTGATCTTCATTACAACGCTGATGATACAGGTATTTTATCACAAACATCTCAAGGTTGTCTAATCCAATAAGGGGTTGCTGAGCAAGGATAAATTGTACCATATAGTGCAGATGGTGCAAAGATAGCAAAGTTTCAGTCCTTTAAGAGCACATCATTTAGAGAATTGGATAAATCAAAGTTTCGTTATTATGCGCGACCGATCAAAAGCAAGAGAAGCTCTTGTAACCACCGCAGCAAATTAGAAAATTGTACCACAAAGTTGCAGTTGGTAAAGCTTTAAAAACCCTTTATTTTCTCTAAAACTGCATTTTTGTAGAGAAATTTTATGAGTAGAAGATTTTTCGCTAAAATGCCAGTCAAATAGTTCAACCAACTTGCTTTTGGCGCACTGCTGGCTCTGTTCTTAGTTTTCCTAGATAGATTTGACTATCACTTGAAAATAAGTGCAAGTAGGCTGATCTTCAGGTTAGCGGTGCCCCGATCGATCTGATGCAGAAAGCAGTTTAGGCTTTGGAGAATTTTATTATGCTTCAGGCTTTGAAAAATTTTATTGAGCAATGCCTAGGGATTTAGCTTTCTTTTTATGTTCTTTGCTAGCCTGTGAAAGTTTTTGGTTTTTGCTCTGCCTTTAACAAACCACCTCAAAACCGTGAAAGATATTGTATCTCCTTTTGGAAAGCCAAACACTACTGGAATACATAGTTTAGACAGCGGAAACAATGAATATCGTATCGACAGAATTGAAACACTTAACTTTACAGATCTACACAGCGAATTCGAATACGTTCACACCTTATCAAGGTAATTTCACTGCAAATTTCACGTATGAGCTGCCGAAAGAAAGCGAGGAATTATGCCTCCGCACATGTTTCGAGGAATCTGATTGTACTTTCGTTCAATACAACGAGGCAAGAACTATGAACTATCCTAGTTTTTTTTACTCTCTTCAATCACTCCTTTTTTTCTCAATAACTTTCCCTATGTTCCAGAAGATGTGCACAATTTTCAAAAGTGGTGAAGTCAACCAGGTTGGGCGTAGCAATGTATTTGCGCTTGATCGGCAACTAGTGCTACCAACATGCGAGCGTCCTTTACCGCTTGCTTCAAATGTGGAATTTCAACAACTCCCGGAACCGACTGCAGGACAGAGCGAGGCTAGGAAGGTGCAGCTACTTGCAATAAACACAACTGCGCCCTTGACCATCATAGACTGGATAGGATTGAGCGGCTCAGTGTTCTATTCAAAAGATATCTCAAAAATGCCTGATGCCATATCTCAAAAATGCCTCAAAAATGCAGTTAACCACGGCAGGTAAACTTTTTTTGTTATCAAAAAACTTTCGTAGATGCCGATGTTGGTAAAATATGAACCACTTGCAATCTGCAAGTTCTAAAAGATAATCAACATTTTATGTCTCGTTTCCTCCTACTTGTAAAAGGAGGACGATTACGCTGTCTTAATCAGAAAGTTTGCTGTGTTCTTTCAACAAAGAACAATTTACCATCTTTTAGTTTGAATGACAGTGAAGCACATAAACTTGACTTTAGACTTGTGTTTGCGAAGGAACCAAATCCGGAATGTGTCTCAATTCCAGTCTTTCAAAGAGCAAGTAAATCTTAAAAACTGTTCGAATAATTGTACGAAAGCAAACTGAAAAGCAAGCTTTTCGCTAAACCTTGGCATCTTTGTGTTTTAACCATCGAGTCAATCTGGAGGGCGAATGCAATGTTTCTTTCGAACTTTAAAGAAACCGATAAGTTTACTGTGTTAATAAAGACTCAGTGAACTACGACAGCAGTCACAATCATCGATTAATTATCAATTAGTGAATATCTCCACCACTTATGTTTAATGACGATAGCAGAAACACAAGTTGTAGTTATAAATATGTGTATTTAGGTCAACGCAGACTCTACTTTGGTGACGTCTACAACGTGACCGGATATACCTTCCTGGATGCGTACGCATTCACCGACCGCTGTGCTTGTGCAGGAATTTGCTGTGGACAAGTGTCCATATTCGAGAGATTCGCGTATGGCAGCTACCATTACTTCCACCAGTCATCAGTTGGACTGATTACCGAAGTGAACCAGACCCTGTACATTGCTGGCATTCTGAATGCCGAGAACAGAACAGTCTTGGGCATGAGCAAAACTGGTTGCTAAACTGATGTTTACCGAGAGAAGCGCTCCTTATCAGGGAGGGAGACCAAACCGTAGTAGTAATTGTCAAGTAATTCGCATTGAGAATCATTTCGAGCTGCTGCCTTTCACATTTTTCAAGCGATTTATTGAAAGAAGTATGAGTGCTTATAAGTGAATTTTGAAAGTGAATTTTGTGGGTAATTAGTCTCAATCGCACAATTGCAAGTACATCAAAAATATGTAATGGATTTCTAATGATTGTGCCTTCCTCAAATGCAGTATACTCCTTACCATTCTAATCAAGCGCTCTCAGGCTGATCTGGGTGCAAAATTACACTAGAAGTAGTATGGTTTTTCAGCTCTTTACTCTGATTTTGATGATATAACGCGTCTCTTCACGATTTGTCAATGCTTGGTATCCTTCTCTTGTAAGATGCAGGGCTTGTGTATTCGCAGGAATGTTTATAGCTTAGGGACATACGCTCTTTTGTCCAAAACCTGTACGTTCACGAAAGTAGTTATAGACTTGCATACTTTAGTGCTTGATGTGCTGTGATGAATTTTTCGGTCATATGTATTTGGTCGCAATAAAGTGTTGAACTGTGACAGACGAAAATCACCTCTGAATGGTCACATGAGATTTTTGTAAAATTGAAACAATATTGCATTCACGGTCAAGCGTGTTGATGCGATCCGGGACCCTCATTTACGACCCCTCCCTTTGAAGGTACCCATCCGTACGACCCCTCCCCCCCCCCACCCTCCCCTATTTATCCCCCTTACCTCCCCTGCCCAAATTCCTCGCGGTAACCTGCATAAACGAATGTCAATCTCAAAAAAAAACACCTGCGTGAGAACTTCAGTGAGTTGGAAGCAGAATTTCTGAACCAATGGGTGCATCCAGCATCTGTAACACACACACCTTCAATAATGTTTGAGATTTTGCAAGTTTTTTTTTTTGAATTTTCAGGCATACTTCAGACCAGCAAATTCGATTCCAGTAGGCGACACAAATTTTTGCACGGAGAAAAAAAATGACATTCTTTCTTGAACAACAAAAGATGTTTTCGACTAAGAAGCTTACTTCCTACCTCTTCCACAGTTTTTCCCGCAAAAAAAACCGCTTGAGCGCCGTTCAAAACGACGTCAAAAACTGCATGAGCACGGCAGTTTGAAAATTCGTAACTAAGGCCAGGAAAAGACTGAGAGGCTGCAAAGCACAGGTTGCGTAGCATGGTGCCCAGACTATCCATAGAAAAAGTTTTAGCCCTTGAGGAGCAGTAAGCTTGAAAAAGTTTAGATGCGACCTCGCAAATTTAGATGCGATCCTAAAAAGCAAAAACTGGGATTTTTGAGCTTAAAATTCTGTAACTTACCAGAGAAGTTATAAAACAGCCTGCAATTTTTATGAGGAAAAGTAGGAGAATGGCCTCATATTACAGCAGAATTGCAGCCAACAAGCTCTAATAGCTTCGAAGAAATTTAGATGCGACCCAGATACGACCCCCCTTTCCTGATTTTTTGCTACCATACATAAAATCATAAGAAAATCCGCAGTTGACAGAATAACACCAAATTTTGCAGTGATATAGCAGAGCATCTCCAAAGTACAGATAAATCACATAGGCCCGCGAAAAACATTACAAAGAGATTTAGAACATGATGGTTACAGCTGGTAAAGATATTCGCTCTTGTCGAGTGTGTGAGACTTCAGGAAGGCTTCAGAGGCAAGATTTTCAGGGTAATCGGTACATTTAGCATTTTTATGAAATCATACATCCTTCAAAAGATTTTGAGCTTTTGTAAATGTTTTTTTTTGAGAATTTCTACAGATTTTTTATTTTTTTTATTCTCATTTCCACTTTTTCATAGATTTATTGTAAAGAACAAAACTAACTCTGCTTTTCAATTCCCTTTTGAGGTTAGAGTATTTTAGTTTTAGCCTAAATGTCTCCTCTTACGACTCTCCTCCCCCCCCCCCCCACCTTAGGTATCCTCTTTACGACGCCCCGTTGCGACAGTCGCATCACATGCTTGACCCTGATTGCATTGCAATCACTTCCACAAAATGCACCGCAAGTTGGCCATGTACATCTTACTTCTCTTAAAACATTTGAAGAAGCATTGAGCGACATGTGCGTAAATCTTTAGAGAGTTTGATTCAAATTAATTTAACTAAGATTTTGACTTTGGCTACTTCAAATCACTCTTCAAGTAGTAGGTTGTGACATAAGATGTAGAAGAAAAAAGCTGTTGGCAGCGGTTCTGACAAGCTGTCTCATGAAATTTTGCAGATTTGTTGGAGACAAAATCTGTAAAATTGTACCCAATCATTATTTCAATCCGCTGGCATGAAGTCAGTTTGCATTAAGTAAGTCCAAATGTGGTGTAATTGGCCTAAGATATGAGGCGCAGCTATGATCAGTTCGGACCAATGTTCGATTTTGTTCTCTAAACCAAAAAAGGGCTTTATTCGTTGAGGATGCTATTTTGAAACTGGAGTATGCTGGGAGATAAAAGCACTAATTTGGTAGTTGGCTAACTTAGCATTGTTGCGGCTCGGTGTGCTCAGCACTTCGCCCAGTGCTCGTCCGCCTGACAACACAACTCCTAACTCCAGGAAATACCGCCTCGGCGCTAGTATGCGCATCTCCTAGCGCGTCTGCTCGACGCCAACACCCCTCTAACCCGTACGACACGAACATCACACGCGCGACTAGATTACATTACATTTATCTAAAATTACACAAAGCAACAACAACTACTAGAACAACAAAAAATACTAAAACTACTAAAAAATCACTAAACACTACTCAGACTACTACTACTACTCCAGGACAAGAAGAATACGCACGGGACGAGCCGCCTCGTCCCGTGCTGCCGATGCCTGATGAAGATCAACTCCAACACGAATAGTCCGGGTTCTCCGAAGGGTCAGTCGCAAGTCCTTAGCCCTCGCGGGACAGTAAGACCCCTCTCCACTCTCGCAATCCTTTCCGCTGCTTGTTAGACTACAATCCTAGCTGCGCGTCTCCATGCACAAGAAGATTATCAAAAGGCTCAACCGCTCGAAACCGTTGATCATCTGCGGGAGCTACTGGAGGCGCTGCCAGCGGGTTGATATCATCAAAAAATCGATAACGAACGAAGCTCGAGGAGGCGTGGACCGCAGCCCGCGCGCCCTTATATATCCTGAGACTTGGCAACGCGCCCAGCAGGAGAGATCTTGGCGCGATATTGATAACGCGCCAAGTAACGCGACAACCAGCGCTCCCGGCCTCCTGTTTCGAGGAGTGGCTTGCATCGCGCGAGCCGAGACAAGCATATTATGATTTTCTCTTCGACTACAAAGTTATTTGCGTACGGCGCATGCTTTTGAGATATTGTTGATGTTAAATCTTCTCTTCTCTTCTGTAAAGTAAAGCGGGAAAGGTAAATCTTAGACCATAGAAATCTACGATATTGCTGCGAAGCACCAGAGCACTTTCATTTGCATTTCGATCACTCCAGAAGTTCTTTTAGGGCCACTCCACTTGATGACCAAAAATTCACATTACGAGTTGCGCTGTAAATTTAGATGAGTTTCTGCCCGCGAAGTAATCTTTGGGCAAAGTAGGGCTTTTGAAGATCACGGAAGGCATACGATGAGGATCGAAATTTTGACCTAAAATTTGCATAGGGTTTATTCGAAATGATAATCACAATTTTCGATTTTCTGCACAAAAAGTGTGCAATAAAAAGCTTCGAGTGTTGAAGCATCTAACGTAACGATTTCAAACTATTTAGTAACATGAAATCGACACGACTTTTCTATCACTTAAAATATGGTTTTCTTGAAAAACTGAAGCAACGGTATTCAGTAAAAAAAAAAAACTCAAATAATAGGTTGCAGACCAATCTGGTGTGTTTCAATATAAAAAGGCATACCTAACTTTTCGGAGTGGCAGGTGTATTGTCTGTTCTACTGTCTTAAGCTTACCAGTAGAACTACAGTAAGACAATAGACATTAGTTATAAAATTGATAAGAAAGACCAAAGTACGTAATCTCATGGTCATTTCTTACAACAGCGTCTTTTTAGGTGAAGATGAGAAATCCAAATAGAAAGTAGACTTTTGTAAATTTGCCGTGACACAAAGAGTACTCTGCGTTGATACCACTGCTT